CTCTCAGGCCCTGGGCCAGCATTTCCAGCAGTCTGTGCGGTCTCAGCCAGCGCTGAGGGCCCTGCATATCTCCAGTACCACCTGCAGCCAAGGCAACCACCACCTTCTTCTGTAGCCTGACTCCTCGCTGGAAAGATGCTCACCTCATTTTCTACTCCTTTGCTACTATACGCACCATTCATGGAGAGAGGGAATTTGGGATTTGTTCTCCCTTGTATCACACAGGTAGACCGGAACCATATCTGAACTAATATGTACAGAGCGTGTAATAGCATGAATTGTTAGAGCACCCTGCCAGGTAAAATGAGGCAATCCAGTTCATTTTGGAGAACTAACAAGCAGAGCTGGAAACAGGAGGCTCCTTTATATCATCTGGAGCGTGGAGGGGGGCATGGTACCTCTGCCGCTTCTGCCCTACCCATTCCGAGATGACAGCAGGGAGGGTGCCTTGACCTTGTTTTCTGACCTTGTAGTTGTGCTCCAGCGTGATCTTCTTGCTATGACCCTGGGCTTGATGGCTTTTGACAACTCCTCCAAGGCTGTGTGGAGCCCTGGTGTCCTACTGAAGAAGTCCATCCTTGGAGCACTGGGATGCCAACTTCAGCCTTGACTGGGTCTGGTTTCCCATGCAAGCCTGCCATGGACCAGTCTTGGGACCCCAGGGGCCTGTGGCAGTGATGTTAGCTTCTGCTGTTCTCAACCTCGCCTGGAGACCCCTATCTCAAACTAGTGGCTGGCCCATGTATTAGAGACAATGCATGGAAACAGCCCAAGAAGTGCCTGGCATCATGTAGGTACTCAGTTGACGCCAGCTCGGTACTCTTGCTAGCCTTGGCAATCCCCCATCGCTGTCCCTTTCAGACTCTCCCTCCTACTCCCTTGTTCTTCCCTTAACAAGACCTTGTTCCCACTGCAGTGTTCCAGGACCCAGGTGTTCACTCCCTCTCCTTCAATCTTGCAAATTGAAACTGCAGCTTTCCCACTGATTTCTTGGAAACGCTGCAGGGGTGGGACCACTTTTGCCTTCAGGTTTACCGAAGCAAGGCATCAGAGTTTGCTGTCTCATCTCCACAGAATTCAAGGCTGAAAGAATTTGTGTCGATGTTACAGTGAGCATGCTCTTTGGCTCGCCCTCTTCCATGAGCCCCCTTTCCTGCCTCTCCCCAGTCCTGTCACTCATCTCACAACTACTGGGAATCTCGCCCTCCCTCACCTTTTACTCCACCGAAAGGAGGGTCACTTTGCAGGGCTTCGACGGTGTGGTGGGAGGACTGAACCTCCAGGGAGATGAGTCTAGCCCCTTGAAGCTTCCACCCCTGGGCTAAGCAGGCCACCCAAGCCTTGGTTTCCACATTCAAGCTGAGCAGAGCCTCCTGCTCAAGCTTTTGGGATTCCAGCAGCAATCTGTGGTACAGTGCAGCTGGAGGCTTACTCCTGTTCTTTCTCCCCATGTAGGGACTCTCCTGCTCTAGGGTCTTCATGAAGCTTCTTGGCCTGTACACAGCAATAACCACATTAGGCGTTTGGATCTTGTGCCCAAGGGAGCCGTCACAGACTCGGGCAGGTTTTAGATGATCATAAATCACATCCAGCCCTGAGCTAGCTGGCACTTCTGTAAAACTGGTTCATTGGTCATCATGGGCTGGGAGGGACAAAATGTGTCCCTCCTCTGGCATGCAGAAGTGCTGAAGAAACCTCTGCCACAGGCTCTCCTACTTCCTAGCTGACTTTGCTGGGGTGAACGACTGCTAAGAGGAGCCTCCGTGCAAGGAGATCAAGTGGGCCTCCCCTTCCATGGGACTGATGGCAGGGGGCTGAACCTTCACATCTCCTTGGAGGGCAGAGACCCTGTGAGTGTGCACTGGCAAGCCTTAACAGATGGCGGGGTGGCCTAGAGAAATTAACTCTGGGAGTGTGGAGAGGGACCCAGGATCTTGTCTCAGGCCCGCCCCTTCAGTGGCTCTGGCCCAGAAAGCCTACTGCTGACCTTCCCAGGTTTCCCTGGCCACCCACCTCTTTAGGGAGACTGACCCACATGTACCTTCAGGGGCAAGTGACAAGCCTCCTGACTGTCTGTGCCGGGCTTCTCGGGCCCTTCCTGCACCATAGAAGGTGCTCACCATATGTGTTGGGAGCCGCTGAAGCTTACTTACTTCATGGGCTCTGCTTCCGGATGAAGTCTTCTTAGCCTGCACACTGCTGGCTGTGGGTCTGTGCTTTGCAGGAAATGGTCTGCCACCCTGCCCTGCACCCAGTGACTGGGCCTTGTACTCAGCTAGGGGCCAGGTGAAATTGGAGTGGAGGCGGGCCTAATGCATCTTGGTCTCTGTGGTTTGTGTGGCATGCCTGGGTCAGGCACCTGTCCTTCGTGTTCCCCAGAAGGAGAGTGCAGTCTGCTTTCTTAGTACCTTCCTTGTGGTAAATGTGGTCAGCTCTAAAGCTGGAGAGTTCTCCTACATGTTCTCAGCCAGGTAGCAAGGAGAATGGGGAGCAGGCTACTGTATCTCCATACCTGCAGTCACCACCTTACCTCAAAAGGAAATCCCAACATTACCTTGACCCCGAAAACCCACACACAGACACACAGACACACACACACACACACACACACACACACACACACACACACACACACACACTGAACATTTTGAGCACTGTACAGTGCAAGAAAGTGTTACACCTGAGAAACTTGTAAGTGTCCTTGCTGTGAACTTACAGGTTTAATCTTCTCTCAGGCTCCTCCCACATGCTGAAGGCCAGATGTTTCAGGGCTTTTTTTCTAAGTGTCCCAGGGTCATCATGGCTATTCATGATTTTATTATCACTGCCTTATTGTAAGCTGTAACAGCACCTGATCAGTTCATTGAGGAATTTCTTATTCTTTAAATTTCTGTGTTGCCTTCAGTGACTGCAGATTTACTCTCACCCCAATATTACCTTTAGAACTCAGATTGACATAGCATCAAAAATTTTCTCATCATCTCCTCCTTTTCACTTTGAGGGTCCCCACAGCTACTTATTTTCTTCCTGCTATCCTTCTCTCAAGACAATTCCTGGTTATCTTCTATTTTAATCACATTCTAGAAAGGGTTCCAATCTTTGCCAATGGCTTTTCTGTCAAGGTGCATTAAGATTCCAATGACACACCCTATACCAAATAATATATTGGTATATATTATCATAATTGATGGCCCTTCCTCATCTCTTCTACATTCTCCAAGTGTTCCTTGGTTTCCCAGGCATCCTATGACACCCTCTTTTCCTGGTCTATCCCCTCAGGTGATGTCATCAGCTTGTCTACCTTCTCCTTACCTCTTAATTCTCAATCTCTACAACACTTGCTGCATTTCCTCCTTTTCCCCTCCTACACAGTGTAGAAGTTTCTTGGAAAATAGGTGCTTGCTATCTGCTAAGGACTGTTCCTAGAATGTAAACTTGAACCTCACTTAACAGGTGGACAATAAATGAAGAAAACAGACTATTTACTCTGCTTTTATTTATGCTATTTGCACAGATGTTTCTTTACAAGACATCAGACACAAAGGTAAGACAGAACGAGCCTGTTATTTTCCCTCACTCACGTTGTACTGGTTATTCCAAACTTTCAAAGAACAGCCCCTCTCCATGGTACAAATCTGTACATCCCACAACATGACAGAAGGCCTTCATTTAATAAGGTTTGCACAGCTGTTGTAGCAAATGTCAATGACATGAAAAAGAACATAAACATCTTCTCAATTATAAATTTAAACATATTGTGGTTCTTAATCAACAGTGTTATAAAATGAATACAAGATTACAACATCTAAAGCAAACACTATTTCGCACTTTAACAATTAGCACTGATCACAAATACCAAATACAGTGCCCTCCCCACCCTCCACATCATTTTGATTTTAGGACCCTGCCTATCTACTCCATGGAGTACTTTGGATTCTCTTTTCCACTCCTAAGGGTCTGCCTGGGATCTCTCTATGGAGTGGAATAACCCCTAGCACCCGAATTGAGTATAGCCTCAACCTCTGCATCATCATCCGAATCCCAGTCATAGTTACATGGCCAGTCTTTGGAGCATCGGTTCCGAACTCTTGCCACAAAATGCATGACTTTCAGCTTGCTGGACTCCACGTGTGCTCGAGGGCCCCAGAAGAACTCATACTCCACCGGACTGCTGCGGGGCACTGGCTTATAAAGCAGATACCCTCTGCGAACAAACTCTTCTGTAACGACCTTCTTCGGATCGCCAAAGATGCTGTGCTGCCTCCCAGGCTGCATCCCTAACTTCCCCAGGACTTTCCACACCAGGGCCTCCTTGGCGCTGTTGCCCATGATGAAGATGAGGGCTAATATGGACATGAGCAGACTTTTCTTGGTGCCCTGGAAATTGCTCCGGGTAATAGGCTTTTGCACTCGGGCAGTGCTTGAAGCTTCTTCAGGGGTAGTGGAGGCCTTCTCCGGAGTGCTTGTGTCTTCCTCAGGGCCGCTCAGGTAGTCTTCGGGTGTGCTCGGGACCACAGAAGCCGCCATCGGGGTCTTAGAGGCCTCTGAGGCCTGGATCTTGCGATTGTTGCGATTCTCCTCTGCAGCCTTTGCGTTCCGGCGGCGCCGACTCTTCCGTCCCCGAGGCATGGCTCCTGCCAAGCGCTCAAAGCCTGCAGCAGTTCTGGAGAAGGCGATCGGCAGCGTCGGAGTAAAGTGATTATCTTACGCGGGGAGAGCCGCCGAAGCGCAAACGCCAGCGGAGTCTTTGTAGCAAGGAACCGGTCGTTTCGGCCACAAAGCCCTTCCCCGAGCAAGCAGACTTGCGCAAGCAGTCGCCGCCCGCACTGGCCGCAGCGCCAAGCGCGCGAGAAACCGGAGCAGCGTTGGCCCCGCCTCTCCTGCCACGCACACGCCGAACACCCAAGAGGAAGTGGGACGCTCCCGCACAGGAACTTCCGCTCGCCGAAAGGAAAAGGAGCGGGCTGCATTTTGGGTCCCACAAGGGTAGATAAGACAGCTAAGGGTTGGCGGGGATTTGTCCTGTGCGCAGGAGAGAAGAATCTCGGTATTCTTTAGGCAGGTGCACACGTTATCCTATTGGTTCATAGGTTTTGGCAAACAGCAGGCCCTTCCATTCTCCCCGAAGGCGGGCTGAGCGGGGTGGGGGAGGGGCGCGGCGGAGCATAGTCTTGCAAGGGGTCAGCTGACCCCAGCCCTCCTTGGCTGTCTTGGCTTACGCAGCACATTCATTCTCCCGCCCGGGTTTCAGAAGGCGTTTCTGTGTGGCTAATTAATTCGTGGGCCCATGAGGGACCTGAATAATAGACTTAATGACCAAAGCGGTGGGTGAGGGGAGGAGATGGGCGTGCAGAGGCAGCTCGCAGTGCTCGAGAGGCGCAGAGCCTGGACGTGTTGGCCTGGGCAATTAAGCGGGGCAGTGAGAAGATCAGACCTAGATTTGCGCAGCCTCACAGAGGGCCAGAATACTTCCTGGCAGGCCACAGAGGAAGCAATTAGAATAAGAAGCAGCTGGATGAAAGTGAGCTTTAAGGCTGTTGCCATGGGGACTGAGAGACAGAAAGGCATTTGAAGGGAGACCACTGGCAGGCTTCAGACAATGGATGGGAATGGGGAGCAGAGAGATGGTACAGTGCAGTTGGATCTCGGCTTTCTAGGCCAGCGAGCCAGCACACCTGCCTTGCCCTGTTCCCCGGGTGCCCACTCTGACCTCTGTCCGCTCCTTCTTTTTGCTCAGATTCCTCTGCCTGAAATGCCTCCCCTCCATTCTGCACTGTCTGAGTTCCACCTGCTTGCTCCCAGGCATCTTCCTCGCTCAAGTTGATTTTGGCCTGCCCCAAAGAGTAATGAGTCAGTCCTTACTCCCCCAGGGGAGGCCCCACAGCTAGGCATTCTGCTTTTCTTGTGTCATCTGAAGCGTGAACTTGCTCAGAGCCTGGCTCCCCACCCCCACCCCACCCCCCTTTAAAGTGGATGTAACTCAAGTACTGGCTTCAGAGGGTTGTGTGAATGCAATGAAAAGCCTTGACTGCATAGTAAGCACAGGCTTTGCCTCTAAGTGTGTTTCAAGCAGCAGCAGGTGAGAGTGGCATTTAATAAGTGCATGTTGAAGGAATACGTGATGGAAAAGATGTTTACATGTGGTTTTCTAAAGATGTGTTTTAATTTGTGTGCATGCGTAGCAGAGGGCGTGGGATCCCCTGGAACCGAGTTGTAGGTGGTCGCGATCTGCCTGATGTGGGTGCTGGCAACCTAACTTGGTTCTTCTGGAAGAGCAGCAAGTGCTCCTAACTGCTGGGCCATGGCTCCAGCCGCTCCCAGGCGCTCTTATTTCTTAAAAGGCAAATGGATACTTTGTACTTGTTTGGCTAGAAGGGATGAAACGTGTACTTGACAGTCTGAGTTTATAATCCTACTGGGGAATGACCCCGTGGGGCTGGTAGACTCGGACATCTGCCAGCTTTTTGGTGGAGTTTGTGGAATCGGATATGGCTTTATCTAGTGAATGAACTCCGTGGCGGGGCAGTGTGTCACTGGCAACAGGAGTGCCAGGGGAACGTCACCCAGTGAGGCCCAGACTCCTGCATCTGTGGAGAAAGGAGATGACTGCTGGGGAGAAAGTCACTGATATCAGAGCTGGGCACATGAATTTGGGGCCAGTTTGTGTCAGTTCCAAGCCCTTGATGAGGTTATTGACTATCCCAGTCCTCTGACTTGTTCTGTACAGAAAAACCTGATCTCTCTTGCATTGTCTGTCCAGCTTGCTGTCAGTCTACGTGGAAGTTACCACTTCATACTAGTCATTTTCCAGTTTTTTATTTCCTTTTATTTTATTTTTGTGATAACAATATAATTACAACATTTCTCCCTTTCTTTTCCTCCCTCAAAACTGTCCCATATGTCCTTCCCTACTGTCCTTCCAATTCAGGACTCTGTTTTACAAGTTGTTATTGCACGCATATATGTATATTCATAATAGGTATATATTCCTAAATAGAAACTGTTCCTTCTCTATAATGTTACTTGTATGTATGTTTTCAGAGCTGACTGTTCAGCACTGGACAACCAGTTGGTGTCTCTTCCTCAGGGAATACTATTTCTTCTGTTCCCAGCTTTTCGTAGTTGCCAGTAGTTTTTTGTGTAGGGTTGAGAATTCATGGGTTTTTCCCAGTCCAGTTCACCTTGTTCATTGGTGTCATCCTTGTTCAACACTTGTTTAGGCTGTCATGTTGGTGAAACTTTATGGGTGTGCTTCTGACATTAATTAGAGACACAATCTCACAGCAAATTCTCTGATCCTCTGGCTCTTACATTCTTTATGCCCCCATCTTTCCCTATGTTCCCTGAACCATTACAGAAGGTCCCCTTGACTTAGGATTTATTTATTATATATTTATTCATTTATTACCATATTTGTGATTCTGTATGTATATTGAAAATTTGGGTAATTTCTTTCCAATTTTGATAGTACATACGAGAATGTAATTCCACTTCCTACTTGGTAAAGCAATTTGGGGTATATTTAATGCTGCCACACCAGTGGATTGAGGAAAAGGTGCCATTTCCCCTTGTCTTTACGTAAATGAACCATTGTTTCACTCCACAAGGACAATTCAACTCTGCATAGCACGATAGATAGAGCCAACTAACAATGTACAGCCGAGGGCCTCAACTCCCATCTAGTTTTCCTAGAGAAGTAAGTGGGAACAGGGCTTAGGCTCTAGGCTTTTTCTGCTAAGCCACAAAAACTGATTCCTATAGTGCTTTCTGGTCATTTATCTAGAGGAAAGAGTCATATACAGGTTTTAAAAGCATGGACTCCAAAGGGAGATATTTTTTGGCTCAGTTCCAGATTCTACCATATATGAGATTAAAATCCTTGGGATGTTGCTGAACCACTGCTATCTATGAAATCATGGAGACTATACTTGTCAGGTAATTTCCTATGGGAGGGATTAAATTAGTTATTATAAAGTAGTCCAAAATTAAATATTAGTGACAACAATAGCTCTGGACCAGAAATTTTATCTATGCAAGAGCCATAGTTATATAACATCTATTATGTGTTAGGCATTGATCCAAACTCATTGGAGTTTTGAGAGTGAGATCCCAGTCTGTTAGCAAAAACAGTTTAAAAGCTTAGCATTTTCAAAAAGCTTAGTGTAAAAGATGCTGGCTCTGATTAGCAGAACCATGCATGAGGCATCCAAGCATGAAGTGAGCGATATCAGATTAATTTAGTGTAATCAGGAAGGGTATATCTAAATAAATAAGTCAACATTGGGCTGAAACCTTACTGCTTAATGGGAGTTATGCAGTGGAAAAGGGAAAAGGTTGCCTACAAATAGATGTTTGAGGAGCTGAAAGCCAAAATGAACAGACTCAGAGGTTTCAGTGATTAGAAACTATTCTGTCTATGGCCAAATTTTAGTCCTATCATCAGTATGACATGCAGCTCTTGAGGCACACATAGAGTTTTTAGTTTATAATATTATATATGCTGTATAGTCACACCATAATTTATTATAGTATAACCCCACTGCTTAAACATAGTTGCTCACTTTTAAAAGCAACATTCCATACACATTTGTGTACTTGTCTACTTATCTGTATTTCTAATCACAGAATTAGTGATTTGGATGGCTTGGTACATATAAATCATGATGCAAATGTCCAGGCTTATTTCCTTGAATAGTTGTGTCCTTTCTTTGTAAAGCATCACCAGCAGTGAATGGATAGTATGTTTTTATCACATCTTCATCTTCCCTAAACATTAAGTGTATAATACATTAGCAATCTGATGGGTAAACTAGCACATCTTCTCCTTGTTATTTTTATGTGTGATTAGCATAAAGTACACATACTAAAATTGTACAATTTGATAGATTTTTACTTATGGGTGTAACTGGTACTAGAATTAATTAATTAATTAAGATAACCATTGCATTCTTTTAGAATATTTTTGTTACATTTGTTTCGTGGGGGTGCACCTATGCTGCAGTATGCTAACAGAGGCCAAAGAACAACCCTCAGGAGTGGGGATTTTTCCCTCCATTCTGTGGGACCTGAGGATTGAATTCTGGCTTTCAGGCTTGGAGGCAAGCATCTTTAGTCAGCCCGCTGAGCCATCTCACCAGCCCAATTGTTATATTATTCGTCATCGAATTTCTTCCTGCTCTGTTATAACTGTCTCCCTTTGTTGCTTTTCTCTACCTTTCCTCCATCCTAGGCACAGTTACCAGCTCTCTATCACAAGAGATTACATTACATTTCCTGTCATTTATGGGAATAAATTCAAACAGTAAGTGCTTTCCTAGAATTTTTAAATTGTCTTGAATTACCATGCAAAGTAATGGGGTTCAGAGCTTCATTGGCACAGCTTATGCCATTGTTTTTTGGTCTTTTTTCTTTTAATATTTCAATCATTTTTTAATTTTTGAGATTATAGTATAATTACATTTCTCCCTTCCCTTTCCTCCCTCCACACCCTCTCATATACGCCCCGCCCCACTTTTCTTCAGATCCATGGCCTCTTTTTCACTAATTGTTATTGCCTGCCCCTCCCCGCCTCCCCCCACCCCCCCACCCCCCCCCACCCCCGTTACCTGCTCCCCTCCTCCCTCTTGCTTTCTCCTTCCTCCTGAAATACTTCTTCCTCCTTTCATGTCCGCTCTTGTTCTACCTTCATCCCTCCCTTCTGGCACCTTCCTTCTCATAATCCCTTCTTCACTCTCATTTGCATATATGTACATAAACATGTAAATTTAGGCTTTGCATATGACAGAAAACTGAAGTATTTGTTTTTCTTTGTCTTATTTTGTTTAACCTAATGATCTCCAGTTTCAACCGTTGTCTTACAAATATCACCATTTCGTTCTTCTTTATGGCTGAGTAAAAGTCCATTGTATGTATGTGTATATAGCAAACTTTTTTTGTCTGCTCCTCTCCTGGTGCATATCAAACAGCAGTAAACAATGAAATAAATAATGAACATGTGCAAACATCTCTGTCAGGATGTCAAGTCCTTAAGGTCAATACCCAGGAGTGGTGTAGCTGGTCCTATGTGATTCAATTGAATTCTTTGAGGAACCAGCATACTGATTTGCAAAGTATCTGTACCACTTTATACTCCCACCAGGGTTCCTTCCTCTTTTCTTACATCCTCATCATATGTATTTCTTCCTTTGGCCAATACATAGTGATTTACAAAAAACAAAACAAGATATAATCTTGCTAAGTAGTCCTGGTTTTGAAGGGGTGGTCTTTCTGTCTCAGACTCCAAACTGCTGAGATTAAAGGCATAAACTACTACACCGAGATAGATAATCAGTCTTTTTTTCATTGTTTGAATGATTTCACTCATCATTTTTCTTTTTCTTTTTCCTGGATGACACATCAATGCACAGATGTGGCACACTTTGTTTAATCAGTCACCCGTGGGTCAGCATTTTAACCAATTTGCAGCTTGGGTCTATAATAAAAACCAGGTAGCAAGGACATGCTTTTACTTTTAAATAAACAGAAAATAACCTTCTTTTTAATTTACTAATTTTTATTAGTGCATTTTGTTCTTTGACAATTACTCATGTATTTTATCTTATTTATTATTACTAGTGTGTGTTGTGTGTATGATTTGTATGGGCACACTCATACCCTGACACACACATGGAGGTCAGAGGACAATTTTGTGGAGTCAGTTCTCTCCTTCCGCCTTTTCTAGGTATCAAACTAGGGTTGTCAGACTTTCATGGCTAGTGTTTTTAATCCCTGAGCCATCTTTCTGGCCCTTTTGAAATTAAAAATTAAGTTAGTATACAGCATGATGGGTTCATTACGGCATTTTCATACATACTTGTTCTTATCCACCTCCCTCTCCCAACGCTTTTCCTGTCCTGCCGCTTCCCTCTGGCTGGCTCCCTTTCCTCTTAATAGCCAGCCCATGCTTGGAAGCCATGTAAATTCCATTACCCTCTCTTTCTCCTTCCTCATCCCTCCATTAAGATATCTTCTTCCAGTCAAATGGGGTGGTACATGTCTGTAATCCTAACCCTTGAGAGAGGAAGGCGGGAAGTTCACGAGTTTGAGGCCAGCCTGGGCTTCATGAGAACCTCAAAAACAAAACAGAGGCCCATGAGATGCCTCAGTAGGGAAAGGTCTTGCAGCCAAGTCTGGCAGTCTGGGACTCACATGGTGGAAGGAGAGAACATACTACTGCAGGTTGTCCTCTGATGCTCTCACACTCACATGTGCACCAACACAGATACACACATGCACATAGGCACACACAAAACAAAATAAATAAATGAGAAAATGTAAAAACCCAGAAAAACAACCAAAAGAACCCAAAACAAAGCAAAACAAAACGATCTTTTTCCCTTCTCATGATCCCTTCTCTTATCCCCCTCCTACTCCTTCACTCTTCCCAACTAGTCCTCCTCAAGTGTGTGTGTGTGTGTGTGTGTGTGTGTGTGTGTGTGTGTGTGTGTGTGTGTTTATTAGAGCTGCTCGTATACCATGGGTAGGTTATTTACTGAAGCATGGACAATTTACTAGTGGCTCTATCACAGAAGACAGTTACTCTTCCTCCTCTAGCAACTATTAACTGCCAATAGCTCCTCAGCCAGGCAGGGGTGGGGGCCTCACAAGCCCTTCACCTATCCATGATAGAATGTTGAAGAGCTCCACCTTGTGTAAGCAACCATAGCTACTGTGTACATGATTGCAAAAGCCATATCATATCCAGAAAACACGGTTTCATAGTGTTCTTCTCCATCTTCCAGCTTTTACCCATTTTCTGCCTGGTCTTCCACAATGTTTCCTGGGCCTTGGAAGAGGTTATATAGAGGTCCCTTATAAGGGTAAGCACTCAACAGTTACTTATTCTCACGATTTTGACCAGTTATGAGTCTCTGCATTCACCATCACACACTGCAAAAAGAAGCTTCCTGCCCAAGGCCAAGAGCAGCACTAATCTATGGGGATAGATATAAGGATTTAGAAGGTAGCTTGACTATACACCCATTTAGCAAATTAATAGTAGTAGATTTCTCCCTGGGGTCCTGTGACCTCCACAGCCATCCGTTTAAGCCAGACATCAGACATGAGTTTCTTCCAGTGGGCAGACGTCAAATCCAATCAGAAAATGATCAGTTATCCTCAAAACAGTTATTTTAACTTTTAAGTTTTTAAGGTCTAGTCAACATATTTTAGGATTAAATCTATGATCTTTAAACACATATATAGATTTATGTTACTACCATCACAATCAAGATATAGAGTAGCTACAGCATCCCAAAATACTTCCTTATACAATTCTACCATGGTTTTACCATCTCTCACAACCTGATAAATGACCCCCACTGAATTTTTTCCTATATTCAGAGTTCTATCCTTTATTGAAATGTCATATATATATATATATATATATATATATATATATATATATATATATATGGGGAAATATAAAGTACTAGAATTTTCTCACTTAACAAGAGACCCACAATATTTAGCTTCATGGGTGCATAATTTAAGAGGTTTTTTTTTTTTTAAATACATTTGAGCTGGCGAGCTGGCTCAGTGGTGGGGCACACACTGTACAAGCCTGACAACCTGAGTGCGATCCCCAGAACCCATGTAAAGGAGAAGAGATTCCACAGGGTTGTCCTCTAACCCCCACAAGTCCATCTTGCCATGTGGGTCCCCACTCTACATGATGTACATATATACACAATAAAAGGATTACGTGTCTTAAGAGCCTGGAGGGCTGGCTCTAGAGGCCTCCTTCCTGAGGACTAGTTCTCAAGCCGCCAAAGGAGAAAAGCAGTCAGTAGTTTCACCTAGCTGTAGAGGCTACAAACCACAACAATGACTGGGGTGATATCCCCAGTAGTGAAATGGTGGCACTAATATCTTGGAGGTAACCAGCAGCTGTTGGTTTTCAGGCTAGCTGGATTTAAGGCCCACTCAATGGAAAGGAATTCATTCTTGGTACTATAAACATAGACAACTACCCTTGACTAGGGAGGTCATAGACCCTAGAGTAGAACATTTTACTGCCATTTACACAAACCAATATAAATTCTAAATATTTCTAAGTATTTATTCTTATTGCCACAGATAAGCATAGCCAATACCCATCGTCAAAGAAGTTTCCTTTTGCAACAGAGACTATTACAAAGATTCACAACTGATCAAAATGCAGAGACCAACAGACCGTGGGATGCCCAAACCCAATTGATATATCTACAACACAATTTCTACACCTAGGACTCAAGGGAAATCATGGAAGCAGGGGCAGAAAGAGCATAAAAGACCAGACCATCTGATGTGAGCCACTGTCCTCTAGACATGACAGGGAAGGTGTACCTAGGAAATCTCAACAGTATGTTGCCTAAACAAGACCATGACAACACCAGTCAACTCTTCAGCTTAGATGAGGCAAATCTCACAAGGCATCACACCTAAATGAAGACTTTCAGGAAATCATGAGCATCTGAGAGAGGGAGATTCAGTTTTCTCCAGGGATGAGCCACTCTGATGGATTAGCCAATCCCAAACGGTCATCTCTAAACACATACACATATAAGCAACAGTATATATAGATTCAGTAGGCTTCTGTGTATATGTGTATGTATATGTATATGTATGTGTGTAACAATAATGAAGAAGAGATTATTAATTTGAGAGGAAGCAGAAAAAGAGGAGAGGTAGAAATAATGTGATACAGTACTAATGTATGAATTTTTCTAAAGTAAACAATTGAAATAAATAATATCTTGTGTCTATGTGTGAATGTGTTCATGTGTATGGATGTAGGTGTGCATGTGCCATGGCGTGTTTGTGCAGGTCAGAGAACAGACAGCCTTAGGTATTCATCCTTGTAGCTAGAGTTTTCCTGCCTTGCCCACAGTCAGGACAAATCTCTGTCACTTGCCAGTCCCACAGCTGCTCAGACCCAACCAAGTAAACACAGAGACTTATATTGCTTACAAACTGTATGGCCATGGCAGGCTTCTTGCTAACTGTTCTTATAGCTTAAATTAATCCATTTCTATAAATCTATACCTTGCCACATAGCTCATGGCTTACCGGCATCTTCACATGCTGCTTATCATGGTGGCAGCTGGCAGTGACTCCTTCTGCCTTCCTGTTCTTTCTTTTCTCCTCTCTGTTAGTCCTGCCTATACTTCCTGCCTAGCTACTGGCCAATCAGTGTTTTATTTATTGACGAATCAGAGCAATTTGACGTACAGACCATCCCACAGCACATCCTTACCCTCAGCCTTGCTTAAGATAATGTCT